TAAACTTTTGGTTCTTCATTTACAAAACTAAGGTAATTAGGAATCACTTTACTGGAAGGTAAGGAGTAAAAATTTTTACTTAATTTAGAAAAAAAAAAAAAAAAGGGTTCCAGGTCATTCAATTTTCTTCCTTTAGAGAAGGAGAAATAATATTTGCTTTGGGCCTACCATGTGCCAGGTTTTGTGTGTCATCTCATATCAGCTTTCTTACCCTGTAAAAGAGTATCATTACCTTCATTTTATAGGTGAGAAAAACAAGGCTCAGGAAAGCCATGACTTTCAGGTCCACACCAATCCCCAATCTTAAAGACAGGCTTTCCAAACTGACTTTCTTGAACCCTTAAGTCCTGTAAAATATTCCGGGAAAAAAGGAGTCCATTGTTAAATAAGGTTTAAAAGCTATATACTGCATCTACTTCTTGGAAATACTCATTAGCACATTAAAGTTTCTGAGAACTTCTGCAGTAATCTGTTTAACTTGGGTTAGCTCAGCATTTACTTATTTGCCTCCTGAATTGCTTTTTTTGCCATGAAACATCTATTAATAGTCTATGAAATTATTGTTTTAAGGATCATGCACTAGGAAGCCCTACTTTAGAAAATTTTTATAGGAAGCAATTAAACATGTGAATAAAAGTTCTCATAATCATCATGATATCTTTTATTTACATAGGATTTGACACATTCTTTTTCTTTTAGTCAAGAAATTGAGGCTCAGGGAGGTTAATCAGCATGCTCGAGATTACCTTGACTAAATGCTTAGCCCTGAGGCCTGTGGACATAGGTTACTTTTCTGGGCTGGGTAGTACTGGCCACCCACTGCCATTATCTATACCTATGGCTGATTGATCTCTTCAGCCAGGGTGATTTTATTTCCAATCCACCCATTTGCTGTGGGGCAGGAGTGAAGGAAGCAGTATCATGCTAAACATGTCATGAGAGTTAGGTTATCCACCCTGCGAATCTGCCCCTATCTAAAGCCCTGAGAGAGGATGGATTACAACATTGGCACACTTGTACTGAGTGACATCATCAGGTAGTTATGTCCTACCCCACCTGGAGATAGTATTTTGAAAAGAATTTGCCAGTGATTCAGACTTCTCTACTTTGAGCACAGTTCAGATCAATTTTTTAAATTAATCTTTTTATATGTTTATTGACCATTATATTTCTTCTCTTTGGATTATATATTTGTATCCCTTGCCCATTTTTCATTGGGTTATTTTTTTCTGTTCCTAAATTAGAAATATGAATTCATAAATTACATGAAATGTTTATATAAATTAGTTTATCAATTAGCAATATAAACTGTTTGTCGCTTGCTGTAAATGTTTTTGCAGTTTGTTTATGGTGATCAGGTCATTTTTCTTTTCTTTTTGAATTCTTTTTCTTTTCTTTTCTTTTTTTTTTTGTTTTTTTTTTTTTGTTTTTTTTTTTTTTTTTGCCAGGTGGATGCTAGATTTATTGGGGGGATCACTTTGAAAATTATATAAATATCTAACCGCTATGCTGTACACCTGAAATTAATATAAAATAATATTGAATGTCAACTGTAATTGAAAAATAAAACAATACGACTAGTACCAATGCACATTTTTTCAATTACTTTTCTGTAAATGGCAGTAACTGTGGTCATTTGGCAGACACAGAGCACATGATACAGCAAATATAGCAGCAAGAAATCACGCCGTCTCCTAGACTTTGTTGCTTTTGCTTGTGATGACCTTCCATGATCTGAAGCCTTTGTTTTATATAAAATTGGACTTCTTTTTAAAAATTCATTATTATTATTATTATTAATTATTTGGTGACATAATAATAAATTCATTATTATTATTAATAATAATTATTTGGTGACATTGGTAAACAAAATCCAGTTTCAGGTATATAATTTAACAGTAAGACATATATATATTGCATTGCGTGTTCCCCTCCCATAGTTAGATTTCTTTCTGTCACCACATATTTGACCCCTTTTACCTCATCTACCTCCCTCCTCCCTCCGCCCCTCTGGATCCTGTTTCTTGGTGAACCAGTTATTTTGACAGATTATAACTACATAATATTCTGCATCTATTAATTGTTAACTTTCCCACTTTTTTGGCTAATCAAGAATGGAGATATATGTGAAATGAAAATAGTAAACAAATAGTAAATAGCGATTAATGTGGGATTAACTTTTTAAAGAAATAGTTGAGCTTGTTGTAAGTTTGTATGGTCTTTTGGTGGTGAATGCCTGATTTCCATTAACTTTGTGGTTTTTAATATGGAAAGTAGCTTACAGAATCCTCGTTACAGTTTTTGTGGATCTTCAGGGAGTCATTGATCCAATCTTCTTATTTTACTACAAGGAAAATAAGGCCTTGAAAGGTTAAATAACTAACATATGCAGTCACACAGCCACACACTGGTTCCAACTCTCTTGCAGCCATCAAGGCAACCGCTCTGTTCCTATCTCCTTACCTCTCTCCTGCCTCTTGACATATAGTTTTGGCAAGAAATGCTCAGGTTAATGATGTTATTTATTGAACATCGCTAGCTGTCAGGAGCTGTCAGGTTGTACTATTGTCCCCCTTTTCAGGTAACAGGAGGGGTTAACTCACTCACTCACTCAGTGTGGCATTGCTAGTACATGGCCGTGCTCTGAAGGTGAGCAAGGACAGAACATAAAAAGGCTGATGATGGTCTCTTCTTCAACAGTTTCCCTGACCCAGCCTTTGGCTGGCAACTCAGAGTCTCTGAGGCCAGAAGTCACCCTCAGAAGCAAAACAGCTTTAGGCATTCTATTTGATGTGTCAGAGAGAGGCCATCAGAGTAGACGGCCAGGGGGTTGGGCCTCATGGGGTAACTACCCTCAAAAACTTATATATGTCGACCAAATCATAAGCCACGAATTAGCAAACCCCACTAATCAACAAACCTCAATGTCAATGTATCCATTGACCAAAACACTGTCTGCTATTCAAGATGCTCCCCCTGGAAAACCAAAAGTTGCAAGAAAGAAATCTGGTGAATACAAAATCAGATCAAAACAAGTCAGTATTTTCTTTGGTCATGTCATATGGGCTTCAGTGAGGTGTGAGGTATGTATCTCTTGAGGAGGGGGCTGGGATGCATACTTCTTTTAGGTTTTCCCTTTTTTTTTTTTTTTTGTTACAGTTTTATTGGGATATAATGCATATACCATATAATTCACCCATTTAAAAACACTAATCTATTGTCTGTCTCTCTAGATTTGCCTGTTCTGAACACTTCATATAAATGGAATCGTACAATATGCGGCCATTTGTGTCTGGCTTCTTTCACTTAGCATAACATTTTCAAGGCTCATCCATGCAATAACATGTATCAATACTTCCATTTCTTTTTATTGCTGAATAATATTCTATTGTGTGGAGGTACCACAGTTTACTTATCAATTCCTCAACAGATGGATATTTGGGTTGTTTCTACTTTATGGTTATCATGAACAATGCTGCCGTGAACGTTTATGTACACGTTTTGTGTGGATCAGACTTTCCTTTCTTCAGAGCCCAGAAACACCATCATCCCACACTTCAGTCACATTGGTGAGATACAAGTGGCATCTCTGTTCATTTACAAACCATCTATTCAAATGGGGAATTTCACCCATTAGGGTTTCACCAAATGGGCCTTTGGCTCTTTCCTCGAAATCCAGAGCTTCTGTTTATCCTCACTGAGTCTGGAGCCCTCGATTCCAAGGCAGAGTTCTTTCAAAGGACAGATGTGAACAGGGAGTCAAGAGTAGCTTGAGTTCCTAGAAACTGAGTGGGAGTCTGGTGTTTAGGAACAAGTGACCTCATTGTCCTGCTGTGTTGGGGTCATTTGGTCCAGCCTTCTGTGCTTCTCTTGGGCAAGGCCTCACTGCCCCATGAGAGGAACCACCAACCAGCTGTGCTGGCTGCGTGAATGTGAATCTGATTGAGCAGCAGCATGGCACAGCAGAGGGTCAGTGAGTGAGGCTCACATCCTGTGATGAGCTTCTGACTTCCCCTGGAAGTAGGACTGACCGCTCTTACCTTCCTTCCCTCTGCATCCCTCACCTCTGCAGTAGTCTCTGACACAGGTAACATTATTTGTTTACGTGTCTCTCTCTTTTGAGGACAACATCTTTTTTCACCTTGAACTGGTACAGAGCAGTCACTCAGGGCTTATAGAATAAATGAAGGAACATATAGTTCCAGGATTAGCTTCCCTAAGCATTTATTCATTCAGGTAATTAAGATATGCATGGAACACAGAGAAGGGAGAAAGCCTCAGAGAGAAAGATTTGAGAAGAGCCTTGAAGGATGAGCTGGAATTTGCCAGGTGGGGAGGAAAGGGAAAGGGCCTACCAACCACAAAATAAGGCACAGCGAGGTGAAGGAGTTTGCTGTGGATGGCATTTAGGTTTGTGACAGGGAGTGGTGTGGAGTGAGGCCAGGAAGGTACATCAGTTGTGCCAAGGTCAGGTATTGTTTTGAAGTCTTCTGGGAACCTCCTGAGCAGCAGAGTGACATGATCAGATCTATGCTTTAGAAAGACAATTCTGCAAGCAGTGTGAAGAATTAGTGGAGGGGGAGAAACTTCAGTCAATTTGGAAGCTCTGCTGCAGGCCTGGCAAGCCCCTTGAGGAAGGAATGGGATGGAAGACAGTGGACATTCCTGTGTGAGGACCCACCAGGCCAGCCTCACCCTTCTGGACCTAGGCACCAATACGTCTTCCCCATTTTTACAGGGTTAATTGCTGTGTGTCCTTGGGGAGCCAGTTTACCTCGCTGGGCCTCAATATCCTCACCTCTAAAATGAGAGGTTTCCATCTATGGCCACGCCACCCTGAACAAGCCCGATTCCGTCTGACCTCGGAAGCTAAGCAGGGTCGGGCCTGGTTAGTACTTGGAAGGGAGACCACCTAGGAAGACCAGGTTTCGTAAGCGTAATAAAATTTTAAAAAAGGGGGATTGTAAGCTGACAAGGTCCTTGCAATCTGTGAGGTCAACCAAGGGTTGCCTCACCTAAAAAAATAAAATAAAATAAAATAAAATAAAATGAGAGGATTCCAGATATTTTCTCCGCCACTTGTAATTGGAAGTTGCAAATCCGTCATTGGCCATGGACGTGCTCTGGCGATGGGAGTTACCAGTGCCTTTGCTCTCGCCTGAGCCGCTGCGGGACGGTGGAAAGTAAGCAAATGGTGGTGCTGATGAGCTGAGGTCTTGCATCTCTGCCAGATACAAAGTCTCCAAAACTTGGAGGGACACAAATCATGGTGGGATCACCAGTCTGGGCCTGGTGAGGAAGATGGTGCCCATTCGTCCCTTCAGTCTGAGGGTGGGTGAGGCATGGTTTGAGTGAGGGCCAAGACCCGCAAGGCGGTGGGTAGCCCTCTCCCTGCACTCCCGCCACCTCCTGCTCATCATTTCCTGCAGCATCTCTTGCGAGGCCCAAAAGCCAGCCTCCCTCCTTCCCCTGCCCAAACCTGCTGTGGCCTCTGGCCTCCTGGCGGAACACCACAGACTTCTCCGGTGGCATGCCCTCCCCCCGCAGTTTGTTGTGGGTCAGAGCAAGCTGCCCTGAAAACCCCAGGACGAAGCGATGAGGCCATTGGCAAAAGACAACTAAGTCTTGTAAAGAGGACTTAAAGAATTTCTCCAGAAGTAGCACAATGTACCCATTCTTTCCTTCCAAGAAGTCTTAACCCGCCCCCGCACCTACCCAGCCCACATTCTCTTTCCCACCCGTCCCAGCCCCCTACTCATATTCCCGGGAGTGATGGCTGCTTCCCAAGGTCCCACATTCCAGGCCAGCACAGCCAGGAAGGGCCAAGTTGCTGAAGGGAGGAGGAGTGACAGGCTCTCCTGGATCTTTTCTGGATTCTTCTGTCGGGTAGTATTTCCCCAGCGCTGGGACCTGTGCCCACCCGACCAGCCACCCCTCAGACCTTCGGCATTTCCAGTGGGGAGTTCTCCCCAACCCCTATGTTCTTTCTCCTCACTGTATCTCCCTCCAGGTATCTTTCTGGAGACCTTATATCACTTTCTTCTATCTGGGCTTCCAGTCTGGGGATTCCTTCCTCCTGTGTTTTCCTAAGGGCAGCTCAGATTTTGATAATCGGATGGACCGCAATGGGGAGGGGAAGGCAGGGCCTGTTTGTGTAGAGTAATTTAGGACCCACCTCCCACATCCTGGAGCTTAAGCTCTAGGGGAGGAGAAGAGAAAAGAGCTGAGATGGGGCAGCCTGAAACTCTTTGTCAGGATAAATCGGGGCAGTATCCCCAGCTTCCCCTCCCCTCTCAAGCTCCAGGCCTCCACACACTCAGAGTACTTGCTGCTGCTATAGTCCTTTCTTCTACAGTGGGCCCTCTGCTCCGAGCCTCCATGCCTAATCCTGTGCTCCACCAATACCAGAGCCAAAGAGGAGAGAGAATACATACTTTGCTCCTGCTTTCCCAGGGCTGCCCCGAAGACCCCACCTGGGTCATTATCCAAGTGAGGTCTGAGAGAGTGAGGCTTTGAGCTCCTGAGAGCAGCGGGAGGCCAGTCTGCCACAGGGCCCCCAGAGACCTCCTGCAGCGCTTTCCCAGCTGCTTCCCCACAAGGGGAGCCCCAAGCGTGAAGACCACTGAGTAGATAAGGTTTCACCAGCAGACAGCTGCGGAGCTTTCCTCTTATTAGGCATTAGGGGGAAGGAGAGGGGGAGGGAAGGAGAGCAAGTCTTTAGTTGAAACCTCAGCTCTGAGCCTCCTTCCAATTCCCTCCATCTTCTCTGCCATTCTGTCATGGCTGTTATTCCCCCTTGCCTGGGGAATGCAAACCAGCCCCCTTCCTGTCTGTGTGGGAAGAGCCAGGAGTGTGTGTGTGTGTGTGTGTGTGTGTGTGTGTGTGTGTGTGTGTGTGTACATGCATAGCCAGAAAACAGACCTAGGCCTCAAGGCCATGCCATGGGGACGAGGTTCCTGAAAGAAGCCATGGGTACCAAGGATGGGAATGGGACTGAAGTGGAATGTGGCTTTCAGCGGCGAGCGGCACACTCACGCTGAGGCTGTGGTGGCCTGTACCTCCACCCAGGCTCCTCTTCAAGCCGAAGGCCGCAGCAGGGGCAGGTTTGGGGGTGCTGATTCTTACCCACTTGCTTCTTCGTACGTACAGTTCCGGGGCCGTGCCAACCTGCATGTGTTTGAAGACTGGTGTGGCAGTTCCATCCAGCAGCTCAGGAGGAACCTCCACTTCCCACTGTACCCCCATGTGAGTGCCTGTGGGCCTGCTTCTCCTTCTTCCTCCACACCACCTCCTCTCCTCTCCCTCTGCCCACTCCTGTCTCTCATCTTCCCCATTTTCCATCTTCTTCATCTTTCCTTGCTTTTTTCCTGGTACTTTTTTTTCCCCCTTTTCCTTGTGGGCCCTTCTTTCCTCTGCCCATAATATCTGCCTTGTTTCCTTCCCAAGGATTCCTTCAGTTTCTCTTCTGCGTCATTTCAGCTTTAGACTCTTGTTGTGGCTTGTAACACAGTCTACCCGGGGCCATCACAAACGATTGTGCTGGTGTGCACTGTACAAGGTCACCTGGACAAAGAAGCAAGTGGGAGTGGAAACTTTGCCTACACGTCACACCACGCCGTGTTTCGGCCCCTCCTGTCGCACTCTCTCCTGGTCTTCCCACCAGCCCTGAGTGGACCAATTTCTTCATTTTCCTCTTCCCTCTTCTGGGTAACAGTCTCCCTCCCCTTTCTTGGCATAGATCCGCACAACCCTGAGGAAGCTGGCCGTGTCCCCCAAATGGACCAACTACGGCCTCCGCATCTTTGGCTACCTGCACCCCTTCACCGATGGTGAGGCCAGCCCCAAAGTAGAAGGCCCTTCTACTTCCTGCTCCACAGTTCTTTCTTTAGGGTGCCCAGAGAACATAAGTCTGCACTAGGACCCTTTTAGTACACCATCGAGGAGAGGGAAAATTGAGTCACGGTGAGGTCTCATCCACCCCCACCTCTGCCCCCAGGCTGCCTTCTCACTCCCTGACTTACAGAGTCTGGAACTAGCTTGACTCTCTCTATAGTCTTCCCATCATTACAGTGTCTCCCAGGATGGAGAAACCCCACTCTGCAAGAGGGAAGTCATGTGCCAAGCCTTTGGGATGACTTAATCACAGACTTTCAGCCCTTACACTGATGTCCTTTTTGCTCTCACCTGGACTCTTCCCCTCAATGCCCAGGGACAATCCAGTTCGCCATTGCTGCAGACGACAACGCAGAATTCTGGCTGAGCCGTGACGACCAGGTCTCAGGCCTTCAGCTGCTGGCCAGTGTGGGCAAGGTAGGGTCAGATCAGCCCAGGAGCTCTCCCCTAGGTCTCAGGTGCCAGGCACTGAAGGGGCCCCAGCCTCCATCAGTAGACACTCGTTACCACTAGTAACTCTGGTGTGACAGCCAGGAAGAAGGCAGGAATAGGAAGCATCCTCCCTCTCACCCCATCCCATTTTACAAGGGGATAAAGGGAGGTGTGTGGAGGAAGGAGTCAGTCTGAGGCTGGGGAGAAAACCCAGGAAGATTCATCTCTGAGCCGGGCTTGGACTACATACAACTTTTGGACCCAATAGTCCTTAGCTCAGTACTAAGGACCCACTCCAAGGGGACGAAGTGCTAGGGCCCTTCTAGGAAGGGTGGAGGTCCTTCTTGCAGGGGTTACTCAGTCACTCCCGTCATTCTCATCTTCTTTCTTCTTCTCTTCTCTCTCCCTCTCACTTTTTCCTTCTCATTGCTTCCTTGTTTGTTCATTCACCATTTCCCATCCTTTGTATTTTCTCTTTTCTTCCTTCCTTCACTCTCTCTCTCCTCATACCTCTAGACTGGAAAAGAGTGGACTGCCCCTGGAGAGTTTGGGAAATTTCGGAGTCAAATTTCCAAGCCAGTGAGGTGAGTAGGGAGCGTCATGAGATTCTCATGAGCAGCAAAAAAAAAACCAACTTTCCTCAAGTGCTGAGGCCAAATCCAAGTCAAAGAGCTCAGTGTGTCCCCTCCACTCTCCAACTGTCCTTATTCCAGAGGCTCTGGGCTCGGCATCCATGCACTCTGGTAAATGAAGTCTGTGAATTAGAAACCATTTGACTCATCCTTCCTCATTTTACAGATGAAGAAACTGAGGCCCATAGAGGGCTACAACTCAAGGTCACACAGCTATTTAGTGACACTCAGGACTGGCAAACAAAACAAGACCCCTTTCTCCCCATCCTCGCCCTTCACTTTTCCTTCATCCCTGGAAATGTCCACATCTGTATAGCCTGGACACCGGCTGCTCTGCCCGTGCTGCAGAAACTTCCTACAGGGATCCCTTGGTAGACTGGAGGGAAGCGAAGGCCTTGCCCAGCTAATAGTGGCTGGAATTAATTACTTTAACATGCTAGAAAGGGGGACTTAGCCCAACCTCAGAGCGCCACCTGGTGTCTGACACATGCAAGCAAGAGCATGCATGCGCTTGATGGTAATATTGATGTTGATTTATGAGAGGACAGTTCAGCTTTCGAAGAGCTCTTGGTATGTGCCAGCCTCTGTGGTGTAATTCAGCATAGCAGCTAATGATATGGACTCAAGCAAGGCTTCCTGGGTCCAAATCCCAACTCCACCATGTAGTACCTTGGCAGCTTCAGGCAAATTACCCAAGATCTCTGTGCCTCAATGACTTAGTGTATACGAAGCACTTAGAACACTGCCTAGCACATAGTAACAACTCTGTAAGGGTTAATTATTAATATTTCATTTGATTCTCTCAATTGTCCCTGTGAGGTAAGTACTAATATCATTGCCTCTTTCAGAAGAGAAAACCACTGTTGGAAGTGGTAGAGTGAAGATTCTAACCCAGATGGTTAAGTGGCAAGACTCTGGGATTCCAGGAGCAAGGAGGAAAGGATGAAGGAGGGTTTAAGGGTGGGTGGGGTGGGAGCAGGTGTGGCACAGTGGAAAAGTGGGACCAAGGGATGGCCACAGGGGCCGGGAAAGACAGCCGTCTGTTTCTGTTCTCTCCTCCCACCAGCCTGTCAGCCTCCCGCAGGTACTACTTTGAGGTGCTGCACAAGCAGAATGACGAGGGCACTGATCACGTGGAAGTCGTGGTGAGTGCTTTGCTGTTCCTACCTCTCCTAGCTCAGTCCTTAGCCACTCTTCTCCTTCCCTTGTCCCCAAAACTCTTTTCAAAATCCAGCTACCTCCAGCCTTCCACGTCCACCCTCTTTGCTCTTCCAGTGGCGACGGAACGACCCTGGAGCCAAGTTCACCGTCATTGACTCCCCTTCCCTGTCCCTCTTCACAAGTGAGTAGGCTCTGCCCATAGCTTGAGACAGAGGCGAGGTGGTGCCCACATGGGGAGCGTCTCAGCCCACCTGGGGACCTGGGTCAGAGGAGGGGTGGTGGGTGGAGGCTAAAGCTCAAGATGTTTGGAACATGGGTGTGAGGGGACAAGGAACAGAACTTCAGGGGTCAGGGACCCTTTTGAGAACCTGATGGAAGCTCTCTGAGCCCTCACCTTGGAAAAATGCCTTTGTGTACCCACACACAATATTTTGTGTACAATTTTAAGGGAATCCAGAGACCATGTGGCTCACTCCAGATAAAAAACCTCTGAGTGAGGCCAGTCTCTTACTTCACAGATTAGGCAACCATGGTTCTTGCAAAACCATGCCAAGAGGAGAGGAAACTTTCCCATCTCCTTTAAATTTGCAGTAAATGAATTTTTCCATTGTATTATTCATTACAATGAATAATAAAAATCTTATTACAATGAATAATACAAATCTTATGATTTTCTTAGCAAGACTCCTACCTGAATGTCTCACTGAGAAATTGCTACCTGGCAGGAGGGGCTATGTGGGCCCAGGTGTATGAAGAGCAGACAGGACTAGAACCCTAAGGGAGGAAGGGAGAGGCAGGTGCTGGGAGGAAACTGAGAAGGCATTGAGACGTGTGTGTGTGAGGAGGGGAGGATGGAGGGAAGAGGGAAGTTCTGGGTTCACAGGAGAGGGTGGCAGTACAGAATGGGCAAGGTGGGTGGGAGGAGGTTGCTGGTGACCAAAGCAAGAGACTACAAGGTCGGGGCAGTGGGACAGGTTGTGAGCCACTGGGTTGGTGCAAGAGGAAGAAGAGAGAATTGAAATCCATAGAGTCGATGCGAACCGAGAAGAAAGAGGCCCATAGCAAAATTCAGGTAAGAAACTAGTAAGAAGTAACTAGGGCCAGAGGTAACTAGCCTTGAGTATAGAAGGAGAGCTCCATCTGGGGCCGAACACAAATGAACCCAGAAGGCAAAGAGCAAAGACAGGCCACCAGCCTCCAGGCTGGTTAGAAAAGGGAAGAAGTAGATATGCAGACTTGAGGATGAGAATACCGGATGGAGAGGAGGAGCAGGGCTGCTGTGAACGCGCTGGGGTGTGCTGCTCATGGTGGGTGCTGCTGACTTGTCTGAGAGGCAGCATAACCTGGAGGCTGAGACCAGACTGCCTAAATTCAAACTCGTCCTTGCCACTTATCAGCTGTGTGATCTTAGACAAATGACTTAAAGTCTCTTTGCCAAAGTTCCTTGTCTCTAAAATAGGAGTAATAGCAGTAGTATGTAAGTCATATGGTAGTTATGAAGATTAAATGGGTTATTTATAAGATGCTTAGAACAGTGCCTGGCTTATTATTTAGTAAGTGCTATGTATGTGTTTGTTAAATAAATTAAATATAATGACAGATTTCCAGTAGATAGTAGTAAAACATTTTGAGAAAGATGTGTGTTTTTTCAAATTCACACAAAAATTGTGTATGGGGTCAAAGAGAGATAAAGAGCTGAAGCCACAAGTTATTGGGGGAGGAGGCAGGACTAGAGGGAAGAGGGTCAAGCACATCCCATCCTGTTCCCAAGGGGAACATGGAAGCCTTGACTGAGCCTCTTCCAGAGGCAGGGCCTGGGTTCTGGGCTGTTTGCCCCAGGGCTCTCAGCTGCCCTCTCTTCTTTCCTCCCTGGCCCAGATGAGACAATCCTAAGGATGGATGAGGTGGGCCACATCCCACAGACGGCAGCCAGCCATGCAGGCTCCCTGCACTCTCTTCCCAGAGACGAGGAGCCCCCTGTTGACATGCTTCAGCCTGACCCTAGGGACACCCTCTATCAAGGTGAGACTTCAACTGTGTACTTGTCACCAGTCTGGGGATGGTACACTGCCAGGTCTGTGGTGTGGGTGGGAGAAACTCAAGAGACCTGTCAGTTCCATCACAGTGTCCCAAAAGTCAGAGGATTGTTTTGTTCCTTGTAACATGCACACAGAGATGTACAAAAATATATATATACAATTTTACATTATACAGATCATTATAGAACAAACATCTGTGTAACTGTCACCCAGGTCTAGAAATAGACTTCCCCGTGCGTTCCTCTGCAATCTCAAATATCATAGTTTCTAACTGGAATCCAGCTCTTGCCACCAGTGAGAGAAATATGTTCCAACTAAGGTGTTAGAGTCTTAAACTCTTGGGAGCGTTTATATTTTAAAAGATGACAAAGTCATCTCCCGTACCAACCACTGCTTCCACATTCACTGGAAGGAAATTCAGTTATTGCGCTTCAGTAGGGTGAGGCTTTGCAGCGTCTTGGAAGTCTCTAAACCTTTACTGAGGCTAGCCCTGTAAGGTGATCCCAGTGCCATCCAATTCCTTGAACTAGGGACTGTCTGAGTCCTCTTCCACCAGGGTGCTCCATGAATGTCCCTGCCCCAAAAAAGTGGTGCCAACCTCAGTCTGGCAGCCTCAGCCAATGGCCATGGCCTCTGACCACAGCTGCCATGAGTGCATACAATAAGGCAGAAGGCTTCAGCCCTTACCCATCAGCCCTTTGTGGCTCTAAGCCAGCCCCAGTTGCAGGCTCATACCCCCACCCTTATCCCCCTTCCTTTACTGTCCTCAGTGCCTCTGATCCCCAAGTCTCATCTCCGCCACGTCCTGCCTGATTGTCCCTACAAACCCAGCTACTTGGTGGATGGGCTCCCCCTGCAGCGCTACCAGGGCCTCCGGTTTGTAAGTTTGGGGCCCGGGCAGTGGTGGGGGCAGGAGTGAGAGAGGGCTTGCTGCCTCTGGCTAAGATGGGGAGGTGCTGAGGCTGACCATCCTTCGCACACCATGTACCAGCAGACAAGATGTCCTCACTGGTCCCTGGGCTTGGAGAACTAGCATTCCAAGTTGCCTCTGGCCCAGATGGACTGCCCTGCAAAGCCTGAGAATGCAGTTCTGCCCTAGGAAGCCCCATACACCAGCTCTGCCACAGTGGTGATGTGAGGTGGACTGGCTTGAGGTTTCCTACACTCTGCTCAGTAAGCCATACAACCAGGACAGGCCTGGGTCAGTCCTACCAGCCAGTCAGCCAGGAGCATTTATTAAACTCATAGAAAAGGCACTGGGGAAAATGAACTATAAAGGGGAACTGTAGAGATTCTCCAGCCTATGTGGAAACTGGAGAGGCAGAATGAACACTGTATACCCAGATCTAGAGAGGAGAGAGTGCTGGAGTCGGGAAGAGAATGGCACAGGAGTCAGAGGATGGAGGGGGCAGATATGAAGAAAGTTTTGGGTGGTGATGGCTTTGAGCCATGTTTAAGGCGGGGGGTGGGCGCAAAAAAGCAATGTAGTAAATAACAGAAGGGGTTGTTCCAGGCCTATGAGGGTTGCAGGTAAAGATTTAGAGGTTGCAGGAGAGGATAAGATGGCAGGAGGAGGAAAGAAGGGTCTCAGTTGCAGCTGTGGAGAATGAGCTGGGACAGGAGATGAGGGACGTTTGCCCTGGGGAGCTAGATCAGGTGTTATGTTAGGTCCAGAGAGCCCAGGAGAGGAGGCATAATGAGTGGAATGGACTCCCAGTCTGCTTGAGCAGATGTTTCATTCATAGCTCAGAGGGGCCCTTCTCTTACCCCCAGGGCCGGTCCCAAGAGCCCTATGGGATCACAGCTGGGAGCTGGCACAACCCTGGTTGGCTGATTTCTCACCAAGATCCCACCCTCTTTCTCCTGCTGCTTCTTTCTTTACCTTCAGGTTCATCTGTCCTTCGTTTACCCCAATGACTACACCCGCCTGAGTCACATGGAAACCCATAACAAATGCTTCTATCAAGAAAGCGCATTCTACCAGGACAGGTGAGCAACCCAGAGTTGGGCAAGAAGATGACAGAGGGGCTCTGCCAGAGCCGGGAGAGCTATCACAAGTGCCCTTCCAGCCCAAGGAGCCTTGGCTCTTCCTGGGTACTTCTCATACTCACAGACCCACACACATTCTCACCCCGCCTCCCTCCTCTGCTCTGGTCTGGGGCATGACTCCAGACTGCTGCTGGGACTTCCAGCAGAGCCTCCCGCTTTGCCTGGAAGGCACCGGGTGCCAGTCTGCCTCTCCCTTCCTCCTACAGGCTCAGCTTTCAGGAGTACATCAAGATCGACCAGCCTGAGAAACAGGGGCCGGAGCAGCCAGGTACAGAGTGAGAGCTGAGCCTTCTGGGTCAGGCTGAGAGGGGTGACCATGGTCCGTTTCTGGGAAAAGTTCCAGCCCTGCTTCTGAGGAGCTTAAAAATCCAAAGCACACAGCCCCTCCTCCCACGCCCTAGGGCATAGAGCAGTACTCCTACCTTTTCCGTGTCAAGGCACATGTAGTACATGAGTATTTGTAACAGTGTGCTGGGTCAGCTGGAGGAGATTCTGAGCCCTGGAGATTTCCTGGGCTGCTTGAGAGCATGTTGTCCCTGGCACGGCATTTGAGAAATTCTGCTACAGAGAAACACTGTCTTCCTGTGGCCTTTCTTCTTGAGGCAATAGGGCCTGACTGAGACTATTTGTTCGGTCCCTGCATGTGCCAGGCACCCGCTAGGCACTTTGCGTACTTATTTCACTCTGTCGTCACAAAAACCCTGTGGAAGATGGATTAGTGTTCCCTTTATGCAGATGAAGAAACTGAGGATATGAAAGTTGAGTGACTTGCCCCAGGTCACACAGTAAGTGGCAGAGCCCAGATGCCAGCCCCGTCTGAAAACCCCTAAGAACGTCAGAAACATAATCATCAGCTATCTCGTGTATCTTGTTAGAGAGAGGCTGAAAACTGATGTGTGGAATGGTTGTCATTAACAACAGGATTTGAGGAAGGCCTCCTGGAAGAGTCCCAGTATGGAGAGGCAGCAGAGGAGCCCCCTGCCTCCACTGACCAGAATGGCAGGATGCCAGAGAGAAAACAAGTGCCTACCTCTACCCCCGGGCAGGGTGTTACTGACTACCGCCTCCGAAGCCTGCGGGAACTCCTGGCTCCTCCCCACAAGGGGCTGCTGGTCCCCTTTTCCAAGCAGAACTCTACAGCTCCCTTCCCTCCGAGAACCAGCAACATCCCAGCCCAGCCATCAGAGAAGAGGCAGAGGAAACCCAGCCCTGAACCCAGCCAAGATCCACCTCATTCTGACAAGTGGGCCCCTGGGCACCTGGCTGTGAACTTGCCTCAAGTTAAGAGGCCCAAGCCCACTGGTGACAGTCCCAGGAAGACTCTAGGGCAGTCCCAGTGGCTGAATCAAGTTGAATCCTACATTGCAGAGCAGAGGAGGGGTGACAGGATGGAGCCTCTGGGCCCGAGGAGGGGTTGGCACGGGGAGGAGGAGGTGGTCGCAGCTGCAGGCCAGGAAAGACAAGTGGAGGGGGAGGAGGAGGGAGAGGAAGAGGAAGAGGAAGAGGATATGAGCGAGGTGTTCGACTATGTGCCCATGTTTGACCCAGTGGTAAACTGGGACCAGACCTTCAGTGCCCGGAACCTGGACTTCCAAGCCCTGCGGACTGACTGGATTGATCTGAACTGTAACACATCTGGCAACCTGATGCTTCCAGAGCAGGAGGCTCTCGAGGTCACACGAGTCTTCTTGAAGAAGCTCAACCAGAGGAGCCGGGGGTAAGGTAAAGGGCTCTCGTGGGGCTGGGGCTGAGTCATGAGGCAGCCTGCTGGCCCGGGGGCAGGGACCTGGGGGCTGTAGCAGGTTCCCCTGCTGCAGGCTCCTAGGAAGGACAAGTTTTGGGGGTCCTGCCCCTGAAGGTGACCTGGACCAGTCAGGTCTTTGTCTCACCATCAGGCAAGGTTTTGAAATGCCCAGGTGTGTGGCCCAAGAGGAGGGCTTGGCAAATATGGTCCCCTCTCTCAGGGAAGGAGCTAGTAAAGAGACGGATCAGACAAAACTGAGGCTAACAGAGACAAATTAAGATTCTAGATATGGGCCAGAAGGGCCCACTGTCTGATTCTAGAACATTCTCATCACTTTTGAAAGAATCCCTGTACCTAATGGTGGTTAACTGCCATTCTCCCAGCCCCTGGCAAACACTACTCTATTTTCCATCACTATAGATTTATCTACTCTAGACATTTCATATATATGGAATTATATAATATGTGGCCTTTTGTGCCTGGCTTCTTTTCCTTAGCAAAATGTTTTCGAGGCTCATACTGTAGAACGTACAGCATATTCCAGTCCTTTGTATTGCTGCATAATATTCCGTTGTACGTATATACCACATATTGTGTATTCAGTCATCAGTTGATTGACATTTGGGTTTCTACTCTTTGGCTCTTGTGAATACAATGCTGCTATGAACATTCGTGTACAAGTTTTTGTATGAACATGTTTTCGATTCTCTTGGGTATACACCTAGGAGTAGAATTGCTGGGTCATATGGTAACTCTATGTTTAACATTTTGAGGACCTGCCAATCTCTCTACCAAATCAGCTGCACCATTTTACATTCTCATCAGCAGTGTATTAAGGTTCCAATTTCTCTACATCCTTGTCAACACTTGTTTGTTTGTTTTTTTAATAGCCATCCTAATGAGTTTAAAATGGTATCACATGTGTTTTTTACATCTACAATACTCTGTCTTCTAGGTGGTCTCCCATCCAAGTACTAACCAGGCCCGACCCTGCTTAGCTTCTGAGATCAGACGGGATTGGGCACGTTCAGGGTGGCAGGGCCGTAGACTCACATGTGGTTTTGATTTGCATTTTCCCTAGTGACTAATGATGTTGAGCTAACCAATCAACATTTATCTAACAATCCATTGTGTATTATGTACTATTGATTGAACAGAGCATTTTATCAATGAAGGTCAACTTCTAGAGGAAATTCATTTAGCCTATATTGGATCTCAGAGCTATAAAAGAGTTTAAAGATCATCCCAGCTCAACAGGTGCATTTTTTTAATAGGTGCATTTTTAAAGATGGAGGCAGTGAACCCTGGAGAGGTTAAGCATCTTGCATAAGCCTCTTAGCCAGTGGCAAAGCTAGCACGAAAACCAGGGGCCCCTGACAACTGTCCTTGTAGGCTTCTACCACACCATTCAACTCCTACAGTGGGAGAAGGAATTACTCAAGTCCCACACCCTTTCTGCCATAGGAGATACCAGCTACGACGCATTGTGAATGTGGAGAAGCGTCAGGACCAGCTGCGTGGGGGTCGCTACCTCCTGGAGCTTGAGCTGCTGGAGCAAGGCCAACGGCTGGTGCGCCTCTCTGAGTATGTGTCTGCGCGAGGCTGGCAGGGCATCGATCCAGCTGGTGGGGAAGAGGCTGAGGCCCGGAATCTGCAGGGCCTTGTTTGGGGTCCACACAACCGCCGGAGACGTGTCCTGAATGTCCAAGCCCCAGAGCCCAAGCTGTGCTGGCCCCAGGGCTTCTCCTGGAATCACCGAGCTGTGGTCCACTTCATCGTGCCTGGTGAGCCTCCAGCAGAGCCTGGGCACTGTCAGCAGAGCAGGGGCCCAATAGTAATCACGAGCACCCAGGCCTCTGCTCACTAATTCTGTCTCGCAGGAACTTGTGAGAGTGGCCACTCTACAGTCAAGAAGCTAAGGCTTACGAGAGAAAAGTCTCCAGTCTAAGTTTACAAAGCTAGCAAGCACTAGAGCCAGGAATAGATACTGACTTGAGGCCAGTTGTTCTTCCTGTGGTACCAGCTTTCAGGTTTGGGTGTGATAATTAACACTGAGGAGTTCCTAGAGTTTACAACTAGTCTGGGGAAATATGACTTAATAGACTGGGTTAGCGATTTTTTTATGAGAAAGGGGACCATGTAACAGACAAGAGAACGACAATGAGATAGGACAAAAAATAAAGAATGATAATAAGACGGACGGATTGCAAGGTTTTATGTTAGAGCGTGATGGGGTTCCTATGAGAGAACTAATGACGAGCCCCAGCCCAGGGCCTTCTTATGAAGCGCTGCCTGGGAGGCCGTGCAGGGGCAGGATGTAGAGGCCCTTTTAACCGATGTGGTTTCCTCTGCCTTCTGTCTTCGTACTGCATTGCTAATAGTTGCATTACCTCTAAGCAGAGGTCTGTTGGGACTCCTGACTCATGCGAGGCCCAGGAGTGGAGGTGCCTGTCTTTGTGTTACCTGTGCCTTTTCCCCTCTGTCTGCCTCACTCGGATAGTGAAGAACCAGGCGCGCTGGGTGCAGCAGTTCATCAGAGACATGGAAAAGCTGTTCCAGGTCACTGGCGACCCACACTTCAACATCATCGTCACTGACTATAGCAGTGAGGACATGGATGTCGAGATGGCCCTAAAAAGGTCCAAGCTGCGGAGGTGAGGAGGTTCCCTGGCTGGAGTGCAGGCTGAACCCCACCCCACCCCCTTCCTAAAGTCCCAGGACTACTAGGTCTGGGGCAAAGCCAGAAGTCTCATTCAGCTTTCCAAGTTCCCGGGCTCAGGCTTTTTCCAGACAACTCATCTGGCCATAATCCCATCCTAGGAACACACATCATCTCTACCTCCTGCCTGCTAGCTTCCTTAGGGCACTGCCACAGCCAAGTCCTAAGGCTCAGCCCCTCTCTTCTTTCCTCTCACTGCAGCTACCAGTACATGAAACTGAGTGGAAACTTTGAGCGCTCAGCTGGACTTCAGGCTGGCATAGACCTGGTGAAGGTAAGTGGGCTGGGAGGGGTCTGGGAGATGTGATAGAAGCTAAGGCTTACAAGAGAAAAGTCTGGTAAAGAGGACTGGTGAAGAGGTCGAGAGACATTTGGGACGTGTAAGGCTGTCGGCTCCTCGGGGAGGAAGGAGTAAGGATACGGGGGTGGGGCGGGCATGGGGCGGTCCTCTGTGCTATGCTACAGGGCCAGTGTCAGGGTGGGACCAAACAAAGGACAGTGGAGCATTTGTCCAGAGGCTTTGGAGTCCATAAAGAGTAGGGACAGGAGTCAGAATCCACTCTCTGATTGTAAGAACTGTGCTTGATACGCAGCACCATGGATATCTACCCAACAGTTTGTTTGTGGAAGTTTGTCATTCGGTTGGGAAAGAGAGAATTGTCCCAGAGAGCAGCCTGGCCTCCACCCTGGTCTAGAGGGTCTGTTAATCTTCTCACATCTGTCCTCAGGACCCACACAGCATCGTCTTCCTCTGCGACCTCCACATTCACTTCCCAGCTGGAGTCATCGATGCCATCCGGAAACACTGTGTGGAGGGCAAGATGGCCTTTGCCCCCATGGTGATGAGGCTGCACTGTGGGGCCACCCCCCAGTGGCCTGAAGGTGAGCCCTGTGCTGAGTGAAGGAGGGTAGGAAAGACCTCTTTGGCCTTGGTTCTTAACCCCAGAGCTGGAAATAGTTCTGTCTATGACAGCAGCGTTACTCTTCCCACGCTGCCCTGCTGCCCTGCTGCCCCTCTGCTCACCTGGACATTCCAGAGAAGTCCCCTGAGGGCTGTGCTTTAGCCATAACAGCAGCAATGATGAACACTGCCTGCCCCACCTTCCCCTTCATTCATTCATCAAACATTTATTAAGCATTTACCATGTGCCAGACTCTGTGCCCTAGGAGGATACAAAGATGGAAAGATAGGCTCCCTGACTCTGGAGAGGGAAATGGACAAGGAAACCAACCGACCCTTGGCTGTGCCTTGAGTGGCTACTATTGTCAGATCTTGTTGTAGATCCTATCACCAGCCCTTAGGCACTCCCTGGTAAGACTGTTGCTTTCATTGCTTTCACTGGACCCTGAACCTTAGCTCAGGAAGCTTCCCTTCAAAACAGGCAAGGGGTTTGGCCAGATGAGACAGTTTTCAGCTGCACACGTCCCTATCCTCTGTCATTCAGTAAAGGCTCTAGGAATGCAGCCTGGAAGCCTTCTTTATTCCTTCTTCCTGGCCCTTGGCCCACCTCACCTGGTGCTTCTTGTCTGTCCGCAGGCTACTGGGAGGTAAATGGATTCGGACTGCTTGGCATCTACAAGTCAGACCTGGACAGGGTTGGGGGCATGAACACTAAGGAGTTCCGAGACCACTGGGGCGGGGAAGACTGGGAGCTGCTGGACAGGTGACTGGGAAAGCAGGGCATCTGAGACATCTGCTGGAATTTATCCGTCAGGCATTCTGGGGTGGGTAAAAGGCTAGAGCGGCCCCGTCCCTGTCCTTGAGCTGTGGATTCCCCGCATGCAGGTAAAGAGCATTGGACTCAGAGGAAGCTCTACCACATACTGGGGTCCAGTTTCTACGTCTGTTAGAGGGTAGGATACTGCCTCTATCTCTGTCACGTGGCTGGTGTGGAAAGTGCTTGTTAAACAGTCAGAGGAAAAGCAAAAACTCGATCTGTACAAATGTAAGTGATAATGTTCTCAGCAGCAAGTGAAGCATGGGAGCACATGGCTGCATTCCGTGAGGACAGCGCTCTCCTCCCCTCTGCAGCTGCCTAGGGGAGGAGGCCGAAGTCATGAGATAGATAGCAGGGACAGGCAAAGGGTCAAGGAAGACTTTGGAGCCAGCAAAAGAGACCATGTGGACCATGAAAGGGGAACAAGCTATCCAGGAGGTTTTGGGTCCCTGGAAGCCTGAGGGGCAAGGAGTTTGGGGGCAGAGGAAATAGTCACTGGTATGAAAAGCCTCAAAGGAGAAGGAGAACATGGGACAAGCTATTGGGCTTGGCAAGTGGGCAAGGAGAGGGTGCTGGAGCAGGGAGCGGCTGGGCTGGGACTCCAGGTTGTAGGGCACTGTAGGACAGAGGGAGACTGTGTTAGTATGAGATTCTTCTTTAAGAAATTTGCTGCCAAG